GAAACAAATAACATTTAAATTGAAGAGGAGCCCCAGTGAGAAGGGAGATTGACCTGCGGAAAATCTAAACTTACTTCATTTGGGGATTTTGCATTACAGAAAGGGCTGGATGGAAGGGTAAATGATTTGGTTCAGGGACTCTGGCAGTTCCTGAGAGGGGTACAAGGGGTGCTTATTCACCCCTTCTTTTTCAGACACCTAATCTGCTAAATTCTACTTCGTGACTTGGGTATAGAGTGGGTGTACGACTATAATAACTATACTGCATATCGCTGCATGCCGAACCGTGAATATCCGGGTTGGAATTAGTCTTCAACAACCTATGCTTGTCGTAAGAGGCGACTGAGGAGATCGGATGGTCAGATTTGCTGACTTTGTTGATGCATGTCATCGTATCCCAATTGCGTGGATCGATGCTCATGATGTCAATCACTGGATTGTCTGGTCCAGACTTGATTATTTACAGTCCGTTATCATACAGCTGGAATACTGCTGAGTGCGGCGTTAAACAACAAACAAACATGTGTGACACACATTTGCATTCACAATAATTATTAGGACGATGCAGGTTCAAGTGGGTTGTGGTCGTGTCTACGCAAGCGACATGGGGACATAAGTGATTTATACCGGCGCTCGTAACACAATGTGTGCTGTGTACTTTATGGAGGTTGGGTTGGGGAATTTTGCCATAAGGCGAAGTGACAAATATGCGTCTTAGATGAAATACTACAGTATTGTGATAGGCCGAGTGTCTATTTGTCATGTTGGTTGTTTGGTTTGTTGTTTAACGCCGCACTCAGCAATATTCCAGCTATATGACGGCGGTCTGTAAATAATCGAGTCTGGACCAGACAATCCAGTGATTGACATCATGAGCATCGATCCACGCAATTGGGATACTATGACATGCATCAACCAAGTCAGCGAGCCTGACCACCCGATCCCGTTAGTCGGCTCTTACGACAAGCATAGTCGCCTTTTTACGGCAAGCATGGGTTGCTAAAGACCTATTCTACCCCGGATCTTCACGGGTCCTATTTGTCATGTACGATAGGGGGAATGCATTTCGGCATTACATGTCGCATTTCCATTTCCAGTTTCGAGGTGACCATAAGAGAGATTTTTGAAATATTTTTATATAGCCCTCTGGTTTATAAAATGGACGGTCTTTCAAAAATATATAAACGGAACAATATTATTTACAAAATATTCCTGTGTTTGTTATTTTTCCGCTGTGTGTTGTTGTTGTTGTTGTTGTTGTTGTTGTTGTTGTTGTTGTTGTTGTTGTTGTTTAACGCAGCACTTAGCAATAGTCTAGCTTTATGAGGGCGACCATTTAATAATTGAGTCTTAGTCAGACAACCCAGTGATCGATGTTATTAGCAACTATCCACGCCGTGCGGGTTCGATAACACGGAATTAACAAAGGCTCCAGGCCTGACGATCCGATCCATTTGCTCGCTTTTTACCGCCGGCATAGGTTGCGGGGGACCGATTCTAACCCGGAATCGCCGCGGGCTTTGTTCTACACATTCATAGTGGTAACACGTAACACGCTTTTAGCAATATTCCAGCAATATCACGGCGGGGGACACCAGAAATGGGCTTCACACATTGTACCCATGTCGGGAATCGAACCCGAGTCTTCGGCGTGACGAGCGAACGCTTTAACCACCAGGCTACCCGACCACCCCAGTAGTATTCGGAATTTAGGGGTGGGCAAATGAGACTGAAAAAGTACATAGTATTCAGGGTTCAGGGTGGGGATAGGGGGGAATGGCACCCTCAATTAAACCCACATCTCAACTTACGTACGTCAGGAGCCGATCCACGTTCGATAGCCTTACGTAAAGACATTAGATAGTAACTCAGGCGTATTTGTCGTATAGCAATCTTGCGGAATATACAAATCGTGAAACGTTTCGATATCAAGACCCCACACATCCTGACAGAAAGGATGTCAAATGCTGAGAGTAGCTGCACCAATGTTAAAACTGAATGATGGCGAGATTTGTTAAAACAACGGAAAAGGTTTGGCGCCCTTGCTGCCAGTACTCCGCCATTAATGCACAATCAAGAGTTGAACAGTGTGATCCCCCATCCCGGTGTATGCACTGGCAGCGAAAAGCCACACACGTGTGCAAATACACATAACCTTTCACAGGCATCAGTCATAAACAGGTTTTTTCCCCAAACCTCGCGTATGCCACGTATTGGGGTGCATCCAATATTAGAAAATTGAAAAAAGTTGAGATATTGTCGGCCAAATTCATCATGTTTAATTATTTTGTTTAGTCACCCGATACAACCTACTTTTAAGCACTATATCCAACGTGCTTTCTTTTTCATGACGAATAATATTATTAATTATGAACTTAACTCATTAAATATTCCCCATGTTAATATGCAAGTTCGCATAACGCGAATGTCGTGCGCAGTCAAACATCATATCATATTTTACTCTCTTTTTTTGTACAGAAGGCGGCGGGGTAGCGTGGTTGTTAAGGCGTTCGCTCGTCATGCCGAAGACCCAGGTTCGATTCCCACATTGGTACAATGTGTGAAGCCTATTTCTGGTGTGTGTGTGTGTGTGTGTGCGTGCGTGCGTGTGTGTGCGTGTGCGTGTGCGTGCGTGCGTGCGTGCGTGCGTGCCCAAGAATTTACATCATGAAGAACTGGATGATTTAGGAGAGATGCATCCTTTCTAAGGAGACGTTACCGTTATATTTTGTTTGTGAAAATCATTCATACGTTAGACCACATTGAAAGACAAGAGACCATAGCATTGTGGTGAAAGGGAAGCAACCCTGTAAACAACTTCTGCTTTCGTCATGGATGGTTTGTGTTTCTAGACTACAAAACTTACTAGAAGGGTTTTATTTCGTAATTCTTTTACTACTATACATCATACATCGTCGTTGCCACTGGTTCGATACGGTTGGGGGTCTTGGAATGTACATGTTTAAGATAAACTGACTGATAACATTCACTGATAATGAAAGAAGCAGTTGTAAAATATTGTAATATTTTGTTTCTTTGTTTGTTGTTAAACGCCGCACTCAACAATAATCCAGCTATATGACGGCGGTCTGTAAATAACCGAGTCTGGACCAGACAATCCAGTGATCGACATCATGAGCATTAATCCACGTAATAGGAATACTAGGATGAAATGCATCAACCAAGTCAGCGAGCCTGCCCACCCGATCCCGCTAGTCGCCTCTTACGGCAAGCATGGGTTACTGAAGACCTATCCTACCCCGGATCTTCACGGGTCTGCCTGTGAATATGATTTGTATTATGTATGACCTCATTCAGTTTGGGTGAATTTGGGTGTTGGACACAACAGTATATTGTTGAGATTTGCGTCGTACTTTGTTCTACAAATTCATAAATACAATTGATAATTGTTATCATTATGTTTCAAAATGATCGAGATTATAAAGTTTAAAATAAAACTCAAATGATACATGAGTTCATGCACCTCGATGCTCATGATGTCAATCACTGGATAGTGATCCAGACTCGATTATTTACAGACCGACGTCATATAGCGGGAATATTGCCGACTGATGCGTTAAACAACAAACAAACAAACCTACTGCATCGAAACAATGCATACGTCACTGTTGACGTAATGATCATTGTGTGGTGTAATGACGTCACAGCAGATGATGACATCACAGCCTATCATGATTGTTGACGTACATTGCCTCTCGTTGAAGTTTTCGACCTTTGTCTAAGCGAGAACAACAGATATGTGCTTTCAATTTGAAGTCATTTCTTCTGTCTAAAATTGTGAAAGTAAACACGGTAAAAGAAATGAAAAAAAACCCACTCATTTAATAATTAGGGTGCCAATTCCCGTTTTGTGCGTCGGGTGCCATGAAATGTTTATCTGGTACGCGGATGACAATATTTCAATGTTAAAAAATATTTCTTCTTCTTTTGTTTAATTATGAACTTATGAAGCATTGTTATGCATTCTATGGGAAAATCCGAGTCTAACTGATATCACAATTTGAAGCTTTCCTGGCTTCGTTGCTCTCTAGGACTTGACAAGGTTCTCGTCTATCAACCAATTCATCATCGTTTAGCCTCAACCGTTTAAAAAAATACTTAGCTAGTTTTAATTCTATGCTTAATGTTTTCCCGTTGTGAATCCTCCAGTTGGCCTACATCTAGTGCATCATATCTCACTTCTGATATGATCGTAAGATGGCTACTGTATATATATATATCCACGGTTTATAGCGAAAACAGCACCTCGACTCAAGCGAAAACGGCACCTCGACTCAAGCGAAAACGGCGCCTTATTTTTTTTTTTACCTTGGTCAAATAAATGATATTAAACTTACATTGTAACTTGCAAACGCCAATAACTGTGAGATGTTAAAACATGTTTACATTAGAAATTAGCCTCTACGCCAACTATAATCCAACTTAGCTTATACGCAACTCAACTTATTGTGAAAACATAACATGCTTTGAAGAAAAAATAATAGAAATTAAACTCACATCGTCTCTTACAAACACAAATAATTTTGAATTAAAACAAGTAAGAAATTAGCCCCCTACTCCAATTTACTCACCGACTCTGATTGGGAGGCGCAGTTAACTTATTGTGATCTGATCAACTACTTTCAAGCTCATTTGATCGCTCATCCCACCTTCTCTCCCAGATCCTGGTCTGTGTTCAACATAGCTGTCAGGACGAACAACTTTGTGGAAGGAAATAATAATACAAAATGGTCAAATACAAATACACACAATAAAAATAAACTATATTAAACAATAAAAATGTTTTTATTATACATTAAAATTTCTGTTCTCTCACGTTTTAGGTTGGCACAGACGTATCAATAACAAGGTGGGTGAGCAGTCCCTGGGGAGATACAGATTGATCCCAGAGATGTTCAGAGAGGCGAATCTGTTGCCTCTACAGTCAAGACTCATTCAGGGGGGACGACTCAGGGCGTATGTGCGTCCCCTCGCTGTAGCGTTCACAACCGACATTAGATTTGAGAGTGAGGTCCCTTGGCAACATGTGCTACTAAAAATATTACAAGACAATTGACATGCCATTCATCTTGTGATATGGTCGGCCCTGACCCACATCTAGGATTACAAGATGGGTGACACCGAGCTGAAGTTCAAGTCCCGGAGATCGTGTGTTGTCAGCAGACAGGGAAGTGTGGCGAGCAGCCAGCCCTTAGCGTCCCAGATCGGACGAGGTAACGTTGTAGATTCGTAAATTGGCTTGTGACTGACTACGTTTAGGAGATGGGTTTTTTAGATTTACACATTGACCTTTGTAAAGTTCCGCTCCTCCCACTACATAAGGTCAGGGACACCCTAATGTATATATTGTGGTTTGCAGCACAGGGACTCGATATTGCTCTTTGTAAAAATATACGCCCCCGTATACTACATAAAAGTCGCTCTTTGTAAAAATATACCTCCCCTATACTACATAGAAGTCTTTTATGGAGTATAGGCGGGCGTATATTTTTACAAAGAGCAATATCGAGTTCCTGTGGTTTGCAGGTGACTGGAGTGGATGTAAAATCACCGCACAAGTGCTGTATCAAATGTCAGTCGCTCATAAAGACCCCAGATCATATATTTAATGACACAATCGCCCCCATTTCATTCTCTTCACTGTCTCAGCTCTATACCCACCCACCCCCTGTCAGCTCTCTAATTAAGAGACTTCAGGGTGCCTTTTAAGAATTATTGTATTTAACCTAAAACACAACTTTATTTCATCTTTATATTAGTCTACAAAACTTTATTTGATTCATTGATCCATTCATTCATTCATTTATTCTGTAACTTGCAAAGATCTATTATTCATTAGTCATTCATTAGTCTACACAAATTTCATTCATTCATTCATTCATTCATTCATTCATTCATTCATTCATTCATTATGTAACTTGCAAAGATCTATCATTATCATATCCATCAGTGGTAGGACCCATGACCTATCTACATTTGTTCAGTCTCGGTCGTTATAACAAATTATAAATTCATCATATATATCTAGGACTCCAAATTGGCCAAACTAAATGCCCTTGGCAACCAAATTCAATTAAATGATCTAAGACTAAGCATTTAGCCTCTTCCTCGATCGTGTTTATTGGCCATGTCACAGTGATGTCCAAACATCTACAATTCCATAACATTAGATAACTATACAATGATATGAATTGGGAAGTATTTTCATTCTAATTTAGGAATGTTTTCCGCCATTTTGTTTTGGACAAATATCAGCCTCTCGGCAGACCTAGACAGATGCAAATGCATATTTACATGTTAACCTTGGTTTAAATTGCACCTGAAAATCATGAATGGATAACAAAAATGTATTACTTCATTGTTACTATAGTTATGGAACTGTTTTTCAGATGTACTTAAGTCAGGTGGAAATGCTGCTGATGCTGCTGTTGCCATGGCAGCAGCCTTGAATGTGACTGAGCCATGCTCAACTGGAATTGGAGGAGATGCATTTTGTCTCTTTTATGATGCAAGATCAAAAACAGTGAAAGGTTTGAATGGCAGGTATGTAAAGTGTTATTAGACAAGAATAAAAGTATGTTTTGTGTCTGACTTGTGTCGGGGGTGGTCGGGTAGCCTGGTGGTTAAAGCGTTCGCTCGTCATGCCAAAGACCCAGGTTTGATTCCCGACATGGGTACAATGTGTGAAGCCCATTTCTGGTGTCTCCCGCCTTGATATTGCTGGAATATTGCTAAAAGCGATGTTAAACCCAACTCACTCACTCACTCTGACTTGTGGCATTCCAGACAGAAAAATATATATTGGTCCCTTTCAAGCAAAAAGTATAAAATATAAGTATAGACCATGGATTTGTCCACTTCATGTTATGTGTTTTGGTAGCAGATATGTGTGCGAGGAATTAATACATGGTTAGTCAAAAGAAATATGTGTGTTTCCATTTCCCAACTTACCCTCATCTTATGGGCCCCCACCTAAAGTGTTTCCTTTACAAGTTTATCACCATATGTATATTGTCTATATGCACTTTATTCAAGATAAAGCAGTCATTTAAAAATAGGAAAGTAAATTATTATTAATAAATCGATATACATACTTAAATTTTGGGTGGGATTCAATTGATTATAGGATCCCTAAGTACATATGTTTCTTTTCCATAATTGTCATATTTGTGGATGAACCTCCCTATATGTCCTTGTACAATTTTCATGACCCTCCCCAAGAATCAAAATGCAAAAAGACTTTATTTTTTTTATAAAAAGTCCATTTCAACATGACTCTCTCCAAACATGTCTTATTTTTTGTGACTCCCCCTGATTCTTTCTGAACACACACCCCCCCCCCCCCCACACACACACACCCTTACCCCTACAATTGATTTCCACTGACCAGAGACCATAAAGTCCCTCTATTTTATGATTTGTGCTCTGACTCACAACCCACCCCTATAAGTGATCCCCTCTTACCCGCCCACCCCTATAAGTGATCCCCTCTGACCCACCCTTACCCTTACCCCTACAATTGATTTCCACTGACCAGAGACCATAAAATCCCCCATAATTGATCGCTTCTGACCCACCCACCCCTTTAATTGATCCCCTCTGACCCACCCACCCCTATAACTGATCTCCTCTGACCCACCCACCCCTATAATTGATCTCTCTGACCCACCCACCCCTATAACTGATCTCCTCTGACCCACCCACCCCTACAAGTGATCCCCTCTGACCCACCCACCCCTACAAGTAATCACCTCTGACCCACTCACCCCTATAACTGATCCCCTCTGACCAACCGACCCTAACGACAAATGCCCGGACCCTGAGCTACCACTTGGAGGTGATTAATGAACAAGGAGTTCATACATCAACTGTCCATGTCTGTTCATGTCATTTGTATATGAAACACCATCACTTTTTATGTTTTTTTCGGTGCAGCAGATATTAATATCAGATTTACATTTAGAGAGTATTATCACCATCTTTGAACACAAGGTACTGCTAAAGTGTTTGGTTCCAATTAAAAACAAGAGTTTGCCACTGGCGTGGCTATATCCCCCGCCCCTGTTGCAGAATTTATGACATAATAAAATCTAAACAAACCCTAACCTTTTTTTAACCGAGGTGGAACTTGTCATGGAAATTGTAAAAAAAAAGAAGAGTTTGGAACCTAAGTCCATCTTGTTGCCATGGAAACGTAAAAAATAAAAATTTCTAAAATTTCTAAATAGCAAAAGGCACCAGTTCAGCATGTACTTGACAGACCTGCAAAGTTTCATAAAAAAAAATATTGAACTGTTTCTGAGTTATGCTCCGGAAAAGAAACCAGACAGACGGACAGACGGAGCCCGTTTCTATATCCCCCGCCAACTTTGGCATTAGATCTAGCGAGACCACCTCAAATTTCAACACAACAGGTTTATCGCCTACTTAGCTTCCCTGCTCATATTTATTTATTCAGAAGGAAATGGGACTTACTTGTAGCCCCACTAGAGTCATCTTCATGTCGGCCCACGACCTGTGAAGATCCGGGGTAGAATAGGGCTTCAGCAACTTATGCTTGCTGTAAAAGGTGACTATGCCTGTCGTAAGAGGCGACTAACGGGATCAGGTGGTCAGGCTCTGTGGCTTGCTTGATGCATGTCATCGTATTCCAATTGTGTGGATTGATGCTCATGGATGATGTCAATCACTGGATTGTCTGGTCCAGACTTGATTATTTACAGACCGCCATCATAAAACTGGAATATTGCTGAGTGAGGCGTTAAACAACAAAGAAAATAAAAAAATGGTGTCAGTCCCCAAGCTAAAATCATTTTACAGCAGAATATGGTAATTTGATCCATCCCCATATCACCATGAAATATGTCAGGGTTTGTTTTCACCCTTCTGGTTATTTTATAGTGGGCGTGCACCATCAGCCTTGACCTTGGACCTGTTGAAAGGTGAAGGGTTCAGCAAAGATCATCCCTTCCCAGTCACCCACCCCCATGCTGTTACTGTCCCCGGGGCTGCTGCAGCATGGGTCGACACAGTGGAGAAATTCGGCAGCGGCAAGGTAGGTAACTCTTGTAGTCTTCCACATTGCAGATGGGCGCAAATAGGCCTACTGTTGGCCCACGTCAGCTGTAAAGTATGACATCAAAGTATGTGGAAGCCTCGGTGGCTGAGTGGGTCAGATTGCTGACTTTGTGTGCGGATTAGGTGCCTCACTCTGGCAGTGTGGGTTCAAATTAGGACGGGACTCAACCCCCAAAAGTATGAGAATCTGTACTTCACTCAGAAAGTGTTATCCCAAATATAACATTTGTTACATCATATTTTGTACTCAAACTCGGCTGATACCAAATTTTGGCATTCTGAATGTGCATTTTAGACAAGTAATACTGGCACAACTGTAGGACATTATGTAAAATTATGGAGAAATTATACATCAACCATAACTGTTAGAATGCATAACAAAATAGTTTTTCGCCATTCCTTGGGATGTAAATCTCTTTTCTCATCTATTTATATAAATGAAAAAGAATTCCAGCTTGACCTTTCAAAGGTGACCTTGGCTAGATCACTGTTGTCCAAATAAGAGGGGTCAACCCTGGACAAACATAAATAGGGGAATAAAAGGGCTTACAAAGCTTATCAAAATTTTGAAATTAAATATTTACAAATCACATCATGACTTTCCTATTATCGATGATCAGGTTAGCTGAAGATGTTGGATGTTGGGTGTTATGGAACAAACACAGGATATATTCGGGCCGAGTAAGCATAGCTCCCTTTTTTGTTGGTATCATGAGTCCTAGTATATCAATATGAAGATATTCAAGTTGGAATATTCTGAATTCTGCTTCAAGCTGACCATGTCTCAAATCCTGGGGCCGGCCATCGACCTGGCAGAGAATGGATTCCCTGTGCAGCAGTGTACAGCTTATTTCTGGAATAAAGGTAACATGCAGAAATATTAACCTTGAATAAAATTTATTATTTTTAATTTGGATTATGTGACTAACACATGGCAACAGTTGGTAATATACAATGAAAATGAATAATGCAGGGATAGAAACTAACTGTTTTAGTCCACTAGTCCTTATAATGATAACATATAGCAAAACCCTTAAAAATGGCAAATTTCTACTCGTCCTTATGATACCTTAATGACTGGAGGTAGCTGAGGTGAAATGGAGTTTAACATCAAGTTCAAGATTATCGCACTTATATAGCAACGTGCATGCATGTGTGTGCTGTTTGACATTAATACCCCGCTCAGACATAGTATACTGACTTCAAACCAACCAGTTTTTGTTTAAGACCCTTAATGCCAGGGCAACATCAGGGTAGCAACAGGTCCATCTTTTAATGTGTGTTTGTATGACACGGCTGGGTTTGAACCACCAACCTTCGAGGCAGATGCTGTATCAGTTAGACAACTAGATTTGGAGGTGGTGGATGGTGAATACAGAAAACATACCTATAGTTAGTGGTGAGTGAGTGAGTTGGGTTTAACGCCGCTTTTAACAGTATTCCGGCGTGTCAGCTTGATGTGGGAGGAAAGACCGAAGTGATGCAGGTCTCGGACGTTTACCACTTCGGTGAAACCCACAATCACGGGTATGGTGCTGACAAACCTAGAAACATAATCGGATTTAAACCCACAATCATAGGTTTCTGGCGTGCCCAAGGGACGCAACTCTGCACAGCGAATCGTGGTGCCTTAGACGATTGGGCCTACCGTGCCCCCTAGTTAGTTATGACACTAGATTGACATGATGGCATCAATCTCTGGACAGGCGCCCACCTCCTGTCTGATGCCTCCAACACACATGGCCATGATCTGCTACTGAATGGTGCGGCACCAAGACATGGCGACCTCATGACGATGCCAAACTTAGCCAAGACATTCAGGGTATGATTGAGTAAATGAATATTGTTTTACGCTGCAGTCACCAGTACTGAAGCTGTATCAGCACGACCTTTATAAATCCAGTCTGGACTAGGCAAACCTGTGGCTGACAGCATGAGCACCCGTGGTATGATGGTAGTCAGCTTAATCACATATTGCAACCACTTGATCCTCAGTGGTGCTGTTCTGAAGACAAGCATTGGGTGTGGGGTCAGCATTGGGTGTGGGGTCAGCATTGGGTGTGGGGTCAACATTGGGTGTTCAGCATTGGGTGTGGGGTCAGCATTGGGTGTTCAGCATTGGGTGTAGGGTCAGCATTGGGTGTGTAGTCAGCATTGGGTGCAGGGTCAGCATTGGGTGCAGGGTCAGCATTGGGTGTAGGGTCAGCATTGGGTGTAGGGTCAGCATTGGGTGCAGGGTCAGCATTGGGTGCAGGGTCAGCATTGGGTGTGGGGTCAGCATTGGGTGCAGGGTCAGCATTGGGTGCAGGGTCAGCATTGGGTGTGGGGTCAGCATTGGGTGTGGGGCCAGCATTGGGTGTAGGGTCAGCATTGGGTGTAGGGTCAGCATTGGGTGTGGGGTCAGCATTGGATGTAGGGTCAGCATTGGGTGTGGGGTCAGCATTGGGTGTGTAGTCAGCATTGGGTGCAGGGTCAGCATTGGGTGCAGGGTCAGCATTGGGTGTGGGGTCAGCATTGGATGTAGGGTCAGCATTGGGTGTAGGGTCAGCATTGGGTGTAGGGTCAGCATTGGGTGTGGGGTCAGCATTGGATGTAGGGTCAGCATTGGGTGTAGGGTCAGCATTGGATGTAGGGTCAGCATTGGGTGCAGGGTCAGCATTGGGTGTGGGGTCAGCTTTGGGTACAGAGTTAGCAGTAGGTGCAGGGTCAGCGACGTACCAAGCTAAACAATAAGCCACATCACATGGTGTAACCCCGCAATCTTCTTTTTTTCGGTTCTTACTACAAGCACTAACTACTAACATGAGAGGCTTTAGAGCCTGTGAAACCTGGCAAATATTTCCACTTTCTGTCAGTTCTGTTGTAAAGGTGAAGAATCGGAAATCAATATTTTTAACCAACTATTTTCTGAAACCCATAAGTTCCTGTATCTGGTGAAATGTTCCTCCCAGGCAGTCGCTGCTGATGGAAAGAAAGGCTTCTACGAGGGACGAGTGGCACAGTCTCTGGTTGACGTCGTCCAACAGCATGGGGGAGCTATGACCCTGGATGACCTGAAGAGTCATGTGACAACCTTCGAGGAACCAATCAGTGTTGACTACCGTGGGTGTCGGGTGTGGGAGATCCCCCCGAGTGGCCACGGAATCGTGGCTCTCATGGCCCTCAATATACTGGAGGGCTTCGATCTTAAAAGTAAGTCAGTCAGTGTGTGAATGGTGTTTTACGCTCAGCCACCATTCCAGCTATATACATCATAAGTAATCAAAAGTCAGCCAAGCAAACCAGTGGTTGATAACATGAGCAACGCTTGGTACATGCTAAGGCACAATCAACCATGTCACACGTTGTAACCACCCCCTTCCAATTTCCGTCAGCTCAGTGGGGTAGTTTGGACTTTACTGTCCAGAAAATTTAGCATTCCAAACGAATAATAATTTTACAAAATACATAATATTTTTAAGATAAAATAATTTAAATAAATGCTCAGGTGGAGGATTATGTGCCCAGTTTGTAGGAGGGTTATGGGAAACACAAACTGATATTTGATTAATCATTGTTATGTACACGCATCTATGGAAAGCACGCTTAATTCCTTCTTTTGAGGGGGGGGCATGGGTGGCCCAATCGTCTAAGGCGCCACGAATCGCTGTGCAGACTTGCCTCCCTTGGGCACGCCAGAAACCTATTATTGTGGGTTAAAATCCCGGTTCTCCCCGATTATGTTTCAAGGTTTGTCAGCACCATACCCGTGCTCGTGGGTTTCACTGAAGCGGTAAACGTCTGAGACCTGCATCACTTCGGTCTTTCCTCCCACATTAAGCTGACACGCCGTGATATAACTGGAATACTGTTAAAAGTGGCATTAAACCCAACTCACACACCTTCTTTTTTGATAGGCAAGGGACATAACTCTGCTGAGTACCTGCACCTCCTGATCGAGGCACTGAGGCTGAGTTTTGCCGACACCCAGTGGTACTGTGCCGACCCCGCCAAGGTCAGTGTGCCCATACAGGGAATGATCAGCAAGCAGTATGCAGGACAGAGGAGACAACTCATCAGTGAGACCAGGTACGTCACTCCGGTGCAAGGGTTCCACTTCTGGCAACGGATTTGTCCGCTTGTTCTATTGCTCTGTGTGTCTGTAGGATTACTGTAGTGTTAGGTGGTCTGAGGTGTCACAATTAAATGTACAGTGAGTGAGTGAATATTGTTTTACGCCGTTTTTAGCAATATTCCAGCAATATCACGGTGGGGGACACCAGAAATGGGCTTCACACATTGTACCCATGTCGGGAATTGAACCCGGGTCTTCAGCGTGACGAGCGAACGCTTTAACCACTAGGCTACCCGACCGCTCCTTCAATGTACAGAATTAGCAGCCCCGTGGTATGGGACCACTATTATTCTTTGTTGGACCTCTTCCCACTGGTGCTGAGGAATTATTTTTTCTCTTTTAAGAGAAGGCCAAAGGTCAAGGTCAGGGTCAAGGGAGATATGTGGTTACACTTTCTAATAGGAGCCTTTGGTATGGTTAGTCAAAGGTCAAGGTCAGAGCTCAGTTTTTTGTAAAACATGGTTATGTTTCGTGATTGCCCTTTCTCAAAGTATTAATGCGTGTATCATTTAACTTATTATATATCTTCTTTAGGATAGGTTCCAGCTTTTGAAAGGTTTTGAAAAAAATCAGCATTCAGGTTTTCTTAAGATATGGTTGTATCAACGCAGTTTTTGAGACATGTTCACCTCTTCAGGCAAGAAACTTATGTTTGCATGTTTATTTTCAAATCCTAACACATTTCATGTTTGTTACATGTCTATCAAAGGTCAAGGACATCTTGGAGGTTATTGTGAAACATGGTTGCATCATTCATTGTTAGTTACTGTTTTGTGTTTACTTCTGCAATCCTGGGACTTGGAGGATTGTTTGATCTTTAGGAAGTTGTTTTGAATAAGGTCAAGGTCTGGAAGTAATGTTTTAGGACTGGAAGTGCAGATTGCAGAATGGTTCCTGTTGGACAGCTTGCAGCAGGAGAATGGTTGTAGATAATGTAGATGAGATTGCAGAATGGTTCCTGTTGGACAGCTTGCAGCTGGAGAATGGTTGTAGATAATGTAGATGAGATTGCAGAATGGTTCCTGTTGGACAGCTTGCAGCTGGAGAATGGTTGTAGATAATGTAGATGAGATTGCAGAATGATTCCTGTTGGACAGCTTGCAGCTGGAGAATGGTTGTAGATAATGTAGATGAGATTGAAGAATGGTTCCTGTTGGACAGCTTGCAGCTGGAGAATGGTTGTAGATAATGTAGATGAGATTGCAGAATGATTCCTGTTGGACAGCTTGCAGCTGGAGAATGGCTGTAGATAATGTAGATGAGATTGCAGAATGGTTCCTGTTGGACAGCTTGCAGCTGGAGAATGGTTGTAGATAATGTAGATGAGATTGCAGAATGGTTCCTGTTGGACAGCTTGCAGCAGGAGAATGGTTGTAGATAATGTAGATGAGATTGCAGAATAGTTCCTGTTGGGCAGCTTGCAGCAGGAGAATGGTTGTAGATAATGTAGATGAGATTGCAGAATGGTTCCTGTTGGACAGCTAACAGCAGGAGAATGGTTGTAGATAATGTAGACGAGATTGCAGAATGGTTCCTGTTGGCAGGGCTAAGGCAGACATGGAGCGGGGTAGCCCAACCACTGGCAGTGACACGGTGTACTTCACCGCTGTTGACTGTGACGGCAATGCCTGCTCCTTCATCAACAGCAACTTCATGGGCTTTGGAACAGGAATAGTCCCTGATGGTTGTGGCTTCACACTACAGGTAGGTGCTGTAACAGAACTGTTAAAACATTGTCTACATGCACTGAATACTTAAACTAATTGGACCCTGGATTCCAATACTTTGACGCGAATTCACAAAAGTTGCTTTTATACTTAGAATGTTTTGTAGTACAGCGACAGTTTCAGCAGAAGGAATGTATCATTATGAATACGCATGTCTCAACTCTCATACTTTAGCAAAGATTTAGGCACAGCACCAAGAGCACTTTGTGTTATTCTGGAATCCAGGTTAGAATTGGTCCTCAGCAACCTAAACTGGTCAAACGAGGCAACCAAATGGATTGGATGGTCAGACTCAACCTAATCTCATTAAAACCAGATCTTAGTTCTTGCTACCGCTAAACAAAGATCTGAGGACATCCCATTACGGGTCACGTCACAAATTTCAAATTGGCGACTACGCTTTGAAACATATTTTGACAAATGCTCAATTACAAATTTGCAACCTGAACAAAAAAACATTCTGGAATGGCTAATAGATGGTCTAGATTGTAAGGATTCAGTTGTTAAACCCGTAACTATCCTTCGGAATACACCATGTTAAAGTTTTCGAGATTGAATGATTAGGAATCACACATTCCGACTGTCACTTTCATAATCTGGTAAGCGATGCACTGATTGGTCGGATGAAAGGTCGTTTTGACGTGACCCCTAATGGGATGTCTTCAGATCTTTGTTTAGTGGTAGCGAGAACTAAGGTCTGATTTTAATGAGATTGGACTCAACTTGGTCGATAGCTTGTCCTTGTACCCCAAGAGTATGGCTCAGTGCTCACAATATCAATAACTGCATAATTTGGTCTGGTCGAGTTTACAAAGGCCGCCATCATAAGCTGGAATATTGCTGAGTGCAAAAATCGTAAAACAAACAAATGACATCCAATCAGCCAAGTCCCTGAAGCTGACCACCCAATACTTTTTAATCCGATCCCACTAAGTGAAGGGAATACTGGGGACTTGTTCTACCCCAGATTCCCCACAGAGCCTTTGTTGTAACACGGATAAGAAGGAGTGTTCATATTTTCAGAACCGGGGAGCAGGATTTTCCCTGGACCCCAAACACCCCAACTGTGTAGCTGGGGGGAAGAGACCCTACCACACAATCATCCCCTCCATGGTGACGTCAGCTGACACTGGTATGTAGAAACACATGGGTATTCACAACAATGCACAGGTGTTCACAACACTGTAAGTGATTAGAACCACACAGGTGTTCACAACAATGTAAGTGATTAGAACCACACAGGTGCTCACAACACTGTAAGTGATTAGAACCACACAGGTGTTCACAAAAATGTAAGTGATTAGAACCACACAGGTGTTCACAACAATGTAAGTGATTAGAACCACACAGGTGTTCACAACTATGTAAGTGATTACAACCACACAGGTGTTCACAACAATGTAAGTGATTACAACCACACAGGTGTTCACAACTATGTAAGTGATTACAACCACACAGGTGTTCATAACTATGTAAGTGATTACAACCACACAGGTGTTCACAACGATGTAAGTGATAAGAACCACACAGGTGTTCACAACAATGTAAGTGATTAGACCACACAGGTGTTCACAACGATGTAAGTGATTAGTACACACAGGTGTTTAAAAAAGCTCACAAGTGAGCTGATTTACAAACAGCAGCATCATAGAACACAGCTGTACAAAACACTGTACATGTGCAGAACAGTGCAGTTTTTGATGCAGTCACTACTCCGTGTGGATCAGAAATGTACTGATTGTAAGTTTGCTATGGTTTGTCATCCAATATGGCCGCCAAGGCAGCCCTATTGGATTGCATGTAATGGACTTCTTGTTTGAACCACTGTAGCTATTTGAACCGTTCTGTGACTTGGCTGCCCGTTGTCCAGGTGACCTGCTGTGTACGCTGGGCGTGATGGGAGGCTATATGCAGCCTCAGGGCCATGTGCAGGTCCTGCTCAACATGCTGGAGTTCCACATGGACCCACAGGAGGCTCTGGACCAACCCCGCTTCCTCATCGGAGGAGGATATGGGTAGGTGAACACTGGAGGCATATCCCCAGTCACGGGGATCCATTAGACATTGTACATTACTTTATATGGGTAATAAGAGTTATCTCCCTTTACACCTAAATAACTTCACCAGCAATCTGTTGAATCTACCCAATGGCAAATGTATGACATACGCAGATCAGGGTGAGGTGAGGTGAAATCACTCAGATTATTGCACTTAAACGACGTAGATGCACATGTGTGTGTGGCTGCTTGTACTAGTCCAGACTGATGCCGATTTGAAGTGCTAGCCAACTGAGATACCATGCCCCAGTTTAACATGAATACGCCACTCAGACACAGCATACTGACTCTCAGCCAGCCAGTCCTTGTTTTAGACCCTCAATTCCGAGCTCCAGACAGGGTAACAATAAGTACCATCTTTTAACATCTTTTGGTATGATGCAGCCGGGGATCAAACCCAGGACCTTCCACTCTCCGGGCGGACGCTCTACCACTAAACCATGGAGGCGTTCTCTCAGATCCAGAGTTGGGTTAGGAGGAGGGGGTTTAATAATAATGCATAGTTCTATCTGCACCATTCTATGCACTAAGGAATGCTACAGTGTAAACATAAGTGACCCACCATGAGATGAGGGACCTTTTGGGTGAAAAATCAAGTTTTTACTTCTTATTATATTTTAAAACAACAGTATCCTAGGACCACAAAAATACAATTCATAACCTTTAATTCATACTTATTACAGACATACACAGCATCAAACATTTGGACTCATTCCTGCAAAGTGCCATTTTCAGACTTATGACTGTTTATGTAATGATTGCAGTTTTTGGATGTGTCTGTTTAATTTGAAATTATTCATGTATGCTGAAATGTTTTAAAACACTGTTTTTTTATTACATTACGAACTAACGAGAGAGAAATAAGATATTTTTGTACAGTCCACACACATAGCAATTTATACAGAAGTAAATTTACGTCGAAAGTCTTTCTTTTTGATGTCAAAGCACAATTGTATCTTACCACCCACAAGGTCCATTTTCACCTGGTGGCTCACATATAACATATGTAAAAAGTGTATATACCTGATGTACACAAGTGTGGGAAAACTGGATAACAACAGTTGTTATGGGGAGTAGTGAGTGAGTGAGTGAGTATGGTTTTACGCCGCTTTTAGCAATATTCCAGCAATATCACGGCGGGGGACACCAGAAATGGGCTTCACACATTGTGCCCATGACAGGATTCGAACCCGGGTCATCGGCGTGACGAGCGAACGCTTTAACCACTAGGCTACCCGACCGCCCCGTTAAGGGGAGTAATGAAGACAAGATGGATGTGCATTGCAGAGGTGCGCTCCCCCACCTACCTACACTTGAGGCATACTAATCTTGTAAACATACTGAAATCATATAACCAAACCTTTTTGTGATGATTTTGACAAACGTTACATGACTGTCCAACGCAGAAAATGCAGCATATTTTTTATGAAAATATATCAGCGCTTGTTAGGGGATTCCGTCAAGTACATATGTATTTAAGGAGAGCATCGTCCTGAGTGTCTTTTGATATCAAATATATCCACAAGAGTCGATTTAACACTTTTAACACTTAAAAGCTACTGAGGATTTAAAAAAAATTATAATAAGTTTTATTTATCATCAAAAATCATTCTTTTAACTTTTTCAGTTTGTAAAAAAGTTGTTTGTTTGTTGTTAAACGCTACTACACTCAGCAATTTGACAGCTATATGACGTTGGTCTTTGAATAATCATGTTTGGACCAAACAATCCATAGCTTGATATCATGGGCATCAATCTACCTGATTGGTATTTGATGACATGCATCAGCAAGCCTGACCTCCCAATCTTGTGAGCATGGGCAGCTGAAGACCAATTCTAACCTGGATCTAATAATGACTCTCATAGTTACATCTGTCCATATCTCCTGTTCAGACTGTCGCCAGTGATAGCAATGGAAGATGGAATATCTGAGGAAACTTTGGAGAAACTCAAGAACATGGGTCACCCAATTACTGGACATCTCCGAGGTCATGACAGGTCAAAGTTTGGAAGAGGTCAGGTTATCACCCGTGGCAATTGGTGGCAGACAGGAAGCGGACATGTACAAAGCAGCAATGTATTGTGGTCTGGATCTGATCCAAGAGCAGATGGACAAGTTGCCGCCTACTGAGGACGTGTGGAGAGAACGAGCTGTCCAGAATAGGATGTGCATGGAACAGCAATGTTCAAAATCAAAACTTAAATCCTGCACGATCAAATATGGCCTAGTACATACAAAAAATCTTTAATGATGACGCCATATTTCTATATAGATTATATGAATACTATGTTATACAGATGTTATCAAATTTTATCAAATTATTATTTGAATTCTTTACAAAATAGAAAAAAGTATTGTCAAGAACAAAAAACAAAGTTCTACAAAATCTGTCTCAGCAGTAAAAATTAACTTAAAAATTTAAAAAGCCTGACAACCCCTACAAATCCCACTGATATTCTACCAGCCCTCAAGATATCTTTAACATCAGATGAATTGACCTTGGCCACACGATGTGTAGCTGTGCACAAACATTAATATATTTTTTATCCCATGTGTGATATTTTATCTATGTACGGGTACCTCCTGGGCTTGGTGGCCTGTGCTAGGTTCTATACCCTTGTCTCTGTATGTGTGTCATGCCATAACAGAATCATATATAACATCATGATCATAAACCATTTATGAAAGAGGGAAACTATTTTAAATTTTTAAACCAATTGGAAGAATTTTATATTGGATTTTTAACTGTGAAGCATGACAAGCAAAACATGCATACATATCGAGAATCTCTATTAACCAGAATAGAAATATTTCAAATGAAAAATTGTGACCACAGGATTGGTTAACATTGTATCATGGCCATTGATCAATATGTCTGTTGGAGGCATTGGCCATGCATGTTGAGTTGTTGTAGACAGGCACAATTTCGTCTGTATTTATCCAAGTCTATGTAACTAAGAAAGATACCTTTGTAATTGGATTACCAGTATTTCTTTTAAATACAACAACCAAATTTATACAATTACAGTAAAGTACGGTTATAACGAACTCAAAAGGACTACTAATTTTAGTTCGTTTTAACCTGTAGTTCGTTATAAGCATATATACAGCATAACTACAGCAAATAGTCGGGACCAAAAAAGTAGTACGTTATATCCGTCAGTTCATTATAAGCGTGTTCGTTATAACCGTAGTTTACTGTACTGTTAAATTGTCTGCTGACAGTTGCATGTGTGGGACGAAAAAGTGTCTTAGCGTCTTAGTAGACTGATATTATTCCTGTGGTGAAAACTCTCACTGGTGCATATGTTGTCAAACAGGAAACTGACCGAGAAAAACAATAGTTATCCACATACTAGTTGGAACTAAGTTGTTATTTAAACCATATATTTATTCTAGAGGCATTGAAACCATTTTCTTCTACCAGAGGGACTTGCGTGACTGAACAAAGTCATGAATAATAAATCCGTAATTGTGCAATAAATTATGATGGTCCATATTCCTGAAAAATGTTTTACTCAGTGGCGAATAAAAACTCAAACTCCAGGAGTGACATGCTATGGTTTTGCCAGCCATCTTCCCCGAAGAATGATCTACATCTGCCTCTGATTATAACGTTCATGGTTAGTTGGTTGGTTTGTTGTAATGCCGCACTCAGCAATATTCCAGCTTTATGACAGCGGTCTGTAAATAATCGAGTCTGGACCAGACAATCCAGTGATTGATATGAACATCCATCCACGCAATTGGGATCGATGACATGCTTCAACCAAGTCAGCGAGCCTGACCACCCGATCCTGTTAGTCGCCTTTTACGACAAGCATAGTTGCCTCTTACGGCAAGCAGGGGTTGCTGAAGACAATACGTTCATGACCCCATTCTTCCGATATTATTACTTTTGTCAGTAAGTATATATTTGAGACCCTGTTTTTGAAGGAGTCTATATACGATCGGACATGGACTTTTTGGTGGTGTGTCGAGATACATCCATATGTTTGCTGTTGCTGTTATATCAAGAACTATTGGTTCAACAACCTGCTCAGACTGGTTCTAATCCTTCAGGGAATCCTTCTCAGGCGCCGCGATTCGCTGTGCAGAGTTGCGTCCCTTGGGCACGCCAGAAACCTATGGTTGTGGGTTCGAATCCCGGTTCGCCCCGATTAGGTTTCTAGGTTTGTCAGCACCACACCCGTGTTCGTGGGTTTCACCGAAGTGGTAAACGTCTGAGACCTGCATCACTTCTGGCTTTCCTCCCACATTAAGCTGACCCGCCGTGATATAACTGGAATGATGTTAAAAGCGGCGTTAAACCCAACTCACTCAGGGAACAGATGACCAGTATGTTTCATGGGTATCCAACAGTCAACCCACTCATATATCGGGTACCCATTCCCTGCGGGGTGGACAGAGGCACATTTGAACTTAATAACTTCCTCAGAGTGACACCACACCTTGTGACACTTCTGTGATGTGACGCTTGTTTCGGGTGTATGTGTGTGTGTGTGTGTGTGTGTGCGTGCGTGCGTGCGTGCGTGCGTGTCAACCCAGACAATGTATTCATGTAATATCTTGTTACAGCAGATTTGGCAGCAACACTACTAACTTCATTTTCAAATTATGTACACTTTATCTCCTTGTTGATTATATTTTTCTACACAAATAAAACTCAAAAAATATATGGAAACACATTGTTTGTCTACAATATTTTGGGGGTCACGGATGACCAAGCCGTCTGAGGCACCTCAGTTTGTTGTGCAGAGTTGCATCCCTTGGATCTGTCACGATCTTAAATCATGGGCTCAAGTTTCCAGTATTCACACTGATGACGAGGTTGGTTAATCAGCACCATCCCGTGCGGGTCGTTTAATTGAAGTGGTGAATGTTTCCGACCTGCATCCCCCTGGGCTTTCCATTGAACCACTTCAACTCACTCACTCACTCACTGACCCGGGTAGAATAGATCTTCAGCAACCCATGCTTGCCGTAAAAGGCGACCAACGGGATCGGGTGGTCAGGCTCGCTGACTTGGTTGATGCATGTCATTGATCCCAATTGCGTGGATCGATACTCATGATATTAATCACTGGATTGTCTGGTCCAGACTCGATTATTTACAGACCGCCGTCACATAGCTGGAATATTGCTGAGTGCGGCGTTAAACAACAAACCAACCAACCAACTCACTCACTCCTCGCAACCATTTTTACCATTTCTACAAAGTCTTATGTTCTCTTAAAATAAATACATCTACCTGTTTCAATTAATAAATTATTTTGAGCTGCAGCAAAATCGAGAAAGAGCAATTCTAAACTAAGGTAGATTTACACTGAATATATATGGTCCCGCTATTAGAGTAGTCTTGAATATTGTGTAGTACTTTGTGTTTCTAAAACTGGACAAGGAACCATGCCATGTTTAAATGTACATATATTTGAAGGTCTGTGGCATGTCTTGTTTATAGTATCTTCTTCGCTGTTTCCATGACAACAGGTTTGGGACATGTATACTTCAGATCAACGAGAGTGACGTCCTCCAAATCTAAAATTGAAATTTTAATGCAAATATGTATATTTGAAATAAGCTGTCCCTGTACCAGGAATCCAGGAATCCATCATCTCGCGATGGATGCTGTTTCTTCTCATTCCAAGGTTCGACCCGTAAAGACCCGGGTTAGAATAGGTTTCAGCAACCCATCCTTGCTGTAAAAGGCGACTATGCTTGTCGTAAGGGGCGACTAACGGATCGGGTGGTCAGGCTCGCTGACTTGTTTGATGAATGTTATCGTACCCCAATTGCGTGGATCGATGCTCTTGTCACTGGATTGTCTGGTTCAGACTCACTCATTTACAGACCGCCGTCATATATCATGAGTGCGGCGAAAACAACAAACAAACAGACATCATTCCTAGGTTCAGTGTACTGGGACGTTACCCAATAATAGGATGCGCGTACATACGAATACCCCGGCCGCGTCATACAAAGAGACGTTAAAAGATGGTACTTGTTGTTACTCTGTCTGGCGTTCGGCATTAAGGGGCTGAAACAAGGACTGGTCGGCTACTGGTCAGTATTCTGTGTCTGTGTCTCAGTGGGGTATTCATGTTGAACTGGGGCATGGTATGTCAGTGAGCTAGCACTATAAATCGCACATCAGTCCGGACTAGTACAGGCAGCCACACACACGTGCATGTACGTCGCTATATAAGTGCATTAATCTTGGACGCGACGTTAAACCCCATTTCACCTCACCACCTCACATGCGAGAAAGTTTGGTGTCGTGGCTGTCGCCGACGTGCGGTTTGCATATAGACATGTCTGCAGACTGATGCTTCCATCCCAAGTCCTCCCAACTGTTCTAAACTGGCAGCATCCAGAACTGGAAACGGTGAACCCATAATGTCTTCTCTGTGTTCATGAAGACGTCTGTTCTATGTCATTCAACGCAGTTATTTCTGAGTTGTTCACACAAGAAACTGTCCTGTCTTGGTGGACTCTCAAAGCTGGGAAAAGGGCCGACATCTTGCACGACGTTGAATCATCTTGATTTGTTGACACACTGTACAACACTGGTGCTAGCCACATAGCCACTGCTGTAGATCGGGGTTTGGCAAGTTATCATCTACACTGCAGCTGAACAGCTAATTTAGCCACGTACATGTATACCGTCTCGTGGGTATTGGCAGGTTAAGAATCTACACTGTACAGCTAAGCCAGGTCTCCTGTCTCGTGGGTATTGGCAGGTTAGGATTCTACACTGTACAGCTAAGCCATCTCTCCTGTATCATGGGTGTTAGCAGGTTAAGAATCTACACTGTACAGCTAAGCCATCTCTCCTGTCTCGTGGGTATTTGCAGGTTAAGAATCTACACTGTACAGCTAAGCCATCTCTCCTGTCTCGTGGGTATTGGCAGGTTAAGAATCTACACTGTACAGCTAAGCCAGGTCTCCCGTCTCATGGGGTTTAGCAGGTTAAGAATCTACACTGTACAGCTAAGCCATCTCTCCTGTCTCGTGGGTATTGACAGGTTAAGATTCTACACTGTACAGCTAAGCCATCTCTCCTGTCTCAGGGGTATTAGCAGGTTAAGAATCTACACGGTGCAGCTAAGCCATCTCTCCTGTCTCGTGGGTATTGGCAGGTTAAGAATCTAGACTGTACAGCTAAGCCAGGTCTCCCGTCTCGTGGGGTTCGTATATGGTGAACATGTGGTGTTGGCGTATATTCCTCGCAGGAACTTCTGATTCTGAAGAGTTGTGTTCTGAAACAGTTCATGGGAAGAAACAGCTAGAATACCATAAACGCAAAAAAAACGTCGATCAAGAACATTTCATATATAAAGGTATGTAACTTCTTTGCGATATGGTATGTGGATGAACAACTTCTTTATTACAATTAAGATTGGCGTTTCGATGTAGATTCCAACACCGTTATCAAGCGAGTGATGTACAGAGTATGGTTGACATGTTTGTAGAAAGTATTAATTTGAAAACACCAGAATCCTGTGAATTTGGACTATTTTGATGAGACAGTGTAACACAATTGCCGCCTTTGACTATTTTGATGAGACAGTGTAACACAATTGCCGCCTTTGACTATGTTGATGAGACAGTGTAACACAATTGCCGCCTTTGACTATTTTGATGAGACAGTGTAACACAATTGCCGCCTTTATTGCATTAAACGAATTCGTTGGAGCATTGCACGAACTGTTCAAAACGTAATAATATTGAAAGTCAAGCAAAGAGAACGAGAACATAAGGAAGTCTGTACAGTAATAACGCCTTAAAGTTCAAAGTGGATCACCTACACCTACGTCCACAACATCTAACAACGCATGCATCGCGAGACCACGGCAACACACAACGTCATCTTACCTGGCCCAGTGCCTCAATCTACCACTGTCTTAGACAACTCTCGGCACAGACAGGTGGTAGATGCTGGACCTCGTAGCTGCAACAACCAATCATGGTTCACTTACATACGAGGGGTGTTCATTAAAGATTTCCCCTAAACCACTTAGGGTTATCATATTTGGTTGAAATTTCACATGTGTAATGATACATGTATCTATGGGTTATGTCTGAATTTGCAGCACCGAACTATTAATCTTACCACTTTTACAGGTGTTATGATCGAGTAGGGTGTGACAATGGAGCCAGTAGAATACCGAGCAGTGATTAGGTTTTTATTTTTGAAAGGTCGCACACCAAAAGAAACTTTCGATGAAATGAAAACAACTTATGGGGAAGATGCCCCATCATATATGACGTTGTTAAACACTGGTATCGCCAGCTCAAGTGTAGTCGGACACGTGTGGAAACAGCTGCCATTCCTGGTCGCCCCCATTCAGCTATTGATGAGGACACTATCAATCAAGTGGAGACCACCATTTTGGCAGACCGACGTATAACTGTTCGCCAGTTAGCACAAGATGTCAAGATCAGTGTAGTGTCTGTGGAAAATATCATCCATGACAATTTGAACATGCATAAGGTGTCTGCACGATGGATTCCCAGGTTGCTCACACCTTTCCAAAAGCAGGAACGGGTCAATTGCTCAAAGGATCTTTTGGACATGAGCCAAAAAAAACAGGCAAACTTTTTTGACAGACTTATCACCCAGGATGAAACATGGGTCCATCACTATGATCCTGAGACTAAAGTTCAGTCGATGCAATGGAAGCATGTGGAGTCACCACCCCCAAAGAAGGCACGTGTCCAACCCTCTGCAGGCAAGGTCATGCTCACGGTGTTTTGGGACCAGCACGGAGTAGTGATGATGGATTTCTTGGCAAAGGGTACCACAATTACAGGAGCTTATTATGCTTCACTGCTGCGGAAATTGCGAGAAGCTATCAAGCTTAAGAGGCGTGGCATGCTGACCAAGGGTGTCCGTCTCCTGCAAGACAATGCTCCAGTACACAACTCTCATGTTGCCCAGACAGAAGCGCGGTCCTGTGGCCCTTGCCACCATCTGACTTCCACCTCTTTCCAACCATGAAGTCATTTTTGAAGGGAAAACGTTTCACAGATGATGAAACACTGATTTCTGAAGTCAAGTCCTGGTTTGAGACGCAAAATGAGGGCTTTTACAAGCGAAGTCTCCATAGTTGCATAAAACGATGGGAGAAGTGTGTAACTCTTGGTGGTTCCTATGTGGAGAAAGACTAATACCTATGCCAAGTTTCATTCCACTAGGTCCATCGGAAGTGGGTCAGGGGAAATCTTTAATGAACACCCCTCGTACTTCCTATTTCTGCAAAAATCTTATACACAAGGACCAAGTATTACCATACTGTGGGGAGGTTTTTACGTTTTTTAACAGTATTCCCCTCACGGCGTGTCAGCTTAATGTGGGAGGAAAGCCCGAAGTGACGCAGGCTTCAGACGTTTACCACTTCGGTGAAACCCACGAGAACGGGTATGGTGCTAACAAACCTAGAAACATTATCGGGGCAACCGGGATTCGGACCCGCAATCACAGGTTGGTGGCGTGTCCAAGGGACGCAACTCTGCACAGCGAATTGCGGCGCCTTACATGAATGGAGCACCCGTACCCTGTTATCATACATAAATTGTTTGATTTGTTTATTCCATTGTTCTTGATTAATACATAACTGAACGCATCGCTTGCCTCTTGTCACACTTGACCTTGTTCTTCATCTGGTACTAACGTATAACACCTAAGCCCTGGCGTGCTGACATAGCGTCTGTTGGTCACAATTTGCTACAAGCTCACGTATACATTGCCGGACTTACGTTCTATGGGTATGATCTCAGCCCCACTTCCGGGTCCGATCGGGTTCCGGCTACTCTGGGTTACTGTGGGAGAGAACATCAATAACGTACACCCTTGCCGAACTAGGCTGCAATTATGTAGCTATACTCGGCTGGACTGTCTAGTCTGTGGATTATCCAATCAAAATCGCGTAACGAAATCGACATGTGGTTCATGAGAGAGTGAGTTTGGTTTAACGCCGCTTTTAACAGTATTCCAGTTATATCGCGGCGGGTCAGCTTAATGTGGGAGGAAAGCCCGAAGTGATGCAGGTCTCAGACGTTTACCACTTCGGTGAAACCCACGAGCACGGGTATGGTGCTGACAAACCTAGAAACCTAATCGGGGCGAACCGGGATTCGAACCAACAAGCATAGGTTTCTGGCGTGCCCAAGGGACGCAACTCTTCACAGCGAAGCGCGGCGCCTCAGACGACTGCGCCACCCGTGCCCCCACATGCGGTTCGTAAACAACAAATATTTTTAACGTGCAGATTTCGGTCGACTTCAGGATTTGCAAAAGATGTGTACTGTCAACTGGGCAGTGACACATATTCTCAAAAAAAAATTCATGTTTTTAATCAAGGTGCTCACGTGATTTTATGCACATCGCGAGGTAGGACTCGTTTTATTTACACCATATATCTTCATCATGGATCAGATCATCTTCACTGTGCGCAGCCATTTTGTTTGAAGCAAATAATGCAAGTGATATAAGAGGTGGCATCTAATTGGACAATAGGAGGGTCATAGAAGGGGCATAGCCACTGGTGGCGCTACGATCGATGCAGATATGGAAAATTTAATGCTGTTATCACCGCGTGATTGCTGTTGTTGTACAGGACTTAGACATTTACCACTTTGTTGGAACCCATGGTCTGGTGCTTGCAAACAGAAACATTATCATTGCAAACCTTGAAGTCGAACCCACGATCAATAGTCGCGACACATATTTCTTTGTTAAGAAAAAATGTAATTCAAGGTTTTGATATGTTGCAAAGTGTTCAATTGAGACCTTGTCACCGAGTGAAAAACACCTGTACTTCGGAATCTCCCCATCAAGTAACAACATTTTAAAAAGAGGGGATGAAGAGACTTTCTTATTATGAACAGGTTAATTTAACTTGATTATCTCCCTTGACTAAAATGATAATTTAACGTCTTCAGCCATAATACCTGCTTAGCAAAGGTTACGCGGAAGGATAAATTATAATTGAACTGTAGTAAGCGCTCTGCTAAGGATCATCGGAAGGATAAATAACTATTTTTTAACGGGTACAGTCAAAATACGCACTATGCTAAGCTCCCGCGTAAGGATAAATCATAACTGAACGTGTACAGCTATAGTAAGCACAATGCTTAGGGTCCGCGGAAGGATGAATAATTATAAGTTAACGTATACATGCATAAGCTCTATGTTAAGTTTCTGCGGAAGAATACAATGAGCGGTTTGTTCAAGTCTGACCTGGTCCGACTTTATTCCGCTTCTTGATGAGAAGACAACGGAACGCCTCGAGGAAGCCCTTTCTGAAGTTCTCGTTGAAGCCGCCGTACAGGACGGGGTTGAGGGAGCTGTTGAGGTAGGCCACGTACACAGCAGCATACTTGATGTCGTCCAAGTAAGCCTCGATCTGGAGAATATTCAAGGGGTGGTGACGCAACAAGGGACACGTTTTGTTAAAAAGGCTTGGAGAATAAAAAAGCTCAGTTGAAGCAGGTCAAATCTATATACAGTATACTACGGTTATAACGACCTCCAATTTTAGTTTGTTATAACCGGAGTTTGTTATAAGCATAGATACAGCGAATGGCCGGGACATAAACAACAGTCCGTTATATCCGTCAGTTCGTTGTAGGCGTGTTCGTAATAAACGTAGTACGTGTACGTGTGTAAACTGTGTGTACAGTGACGGTTATATTCTTTTGACGACTTATCGCTTCTACAAAAAAATGAAGTTGACTTTTCAAATACCAACATAGGTACATGTGTTGTTTTTTTCTGGTTATATGATAAGTATTCAGACACTAAGCTCCTACTTGGAGGGTCATTTGGGATTGGTTGGTTGGTTGGTCGGTTTGTTGTTTAACGCCGCACTCAGCAATATTTCAGCTATATGACGGCCTTCTGTAAAATAATCGAGTCTGAACCAGACAATCCAGTGATTGATATCATTAGCATCAATTGGGATCGATGGCATGCATCAACAAAGTCAGCGAGCCTGACCACCCGATCCCGTTAGTTGCCTTTTACGACAAGCATAGTCACCTTTTACGGCAAGCATAGGTTGCTGAAGACCTATTCTAACCCGGAATCTTCGGGAATATCGTATGGTCATATTGTTAACAGCATACAACACGACCACAGTAGAAACTGTTATCAAAGTCAACATGACATCACGGAACAGCGTCATTGTTTTCTGCCTGTTTTGTAGATAGTACTCTGTGTGCAGTAAGACCGTTTGGGCACGCCAGAAACCTATGATTGTGGGTTCGAATCCCGGTTCGCCCCGATTTTGTTTCTAGGTTTGTCAGCACCATACCCGTTCATACGTCATCGCCTACCTTCTTCCCCTTGGGTCTGAAGACATCCCAGAGCAGCATGAACTGTTGCGGCGTCCAACACAGCACAAACACCACCAGCACCGCCACCAACATCTTGATCACCTGCAGACAATGTCCCTTCCTTTAACATAACTACAGAGTGCCATGTCAAATTACTGGTACGAAATGAGTACTATATTACACACGTGCATACATAAACTGCCAGGCAAAGAATGTCTACACCCATGTTTGATGGTGCTTTGTTTGTTTGTTGTTTGATGCTACATTCAGCAATATTCCAGCTAAATGACGGCGGTCTGTAAAAAATCGAGTCTGGACCAGACAATCCAGTAATTGACATCATGAGCATCGATCCACCCAATTTATATCAAGTCAGCGAGCCTGACCACCCGATCCCGTTCGTCGCCTCTGACGACAAGCATAGTCGCCTTTTACGGCAAGCAGGGGTTGCTGAAGACTTAATCTACCCCGAACCTTCGCGGGTGTTTGATGGTGGTGAAAAATGAAACAAACAAGAAATGGTTATTCGATGGTGATGTACTAGATACGGATATCATAGTTGCGTCTTAGACCTGTTTGCAGTGTTTCGGCGACTGTTTTCAGCCTACTAACGTATTGATAATTGTAATATGTTGGTTCGGCCTACTAACGGTTTGATAATTGTAATATGTTGGTTCGGCCTACTAACGTATTGATAATTGTAATATGTTGGTTCGGCCTACTAACGTATTGATAATTGTAATATGTTGGTTCGGCCTACTAACGGTTTGATAATTGTAATATGTTGGTTCGGCCTACTAACGTATTGATAATTGTAATATGTTGGTTCGGCCTACTGACGTATTGATAATTGTAATATTTTGGTTCAGCCTACTAACGTATTGATAATTGTAATATTTTGGTTCAGCCTACTAACGTATTGATAATTGTAATATTTTGGTTCAGTCTACTAACGTATTGATAATTGTAATATTTTGGTTCAGCCTACTAACGTATTGATAATTGTAATATGTTGGTTCGGCCTACTAACGGTTTGATAATTGTAATATGTTGGTTCGGCCTACTAACGTATTGATAATTGTAATATGTTGGTTCGGCCTACTAACGTATTGATAATTGTAATATGTTGGTTCGGCCTACTAACGGTTTGATAATTGTAATATGTTGGTTCGGCCTACTAACGTATTGATAATTGTAATATGTTGGTTCGGCCTACTAACGGTTTGATAATTGTAATATGTTGGTTCGGCCTACTAACGTATTGATAATTGTAATATTTTGGTTCAGCCTACTAACGTATTGATAATTGTAATATTTTGGTTCAGCCTACTAACGTATTGATAATTGTAATATTTTGGTTCAGTCTACTAACGTATTGATAATTGTAATATTTTGGTTCAGCCTACTAACGTATTGATAATTGTAATATTTTGGTTCAGTCTACTAACGTATTGATAATTGTAATATTTTGGTTCAGCCTACTAACGTATTGATAATTGTAATATTTTGGTTCAGCCTACTAACGTATTGATAATTGTAATATTTTGGTTCAGACAACTAACGTATTGATAATTGTAATATTTTGGTTCAGCCTACTAACGTATTGATAATTGTAATATTTTGGTTCAGCCTACTAACGTATTGATAATTGTAATATTTTGGTTCAGCCAATTAACGTATTGATAATTGTAATATTTTGGTAAAATCCAATGTTCAACTGTGTACTTTTTTTGCCGTAATTTTATCTGTGAATAGGCACTGGTCAGGTAGGAGAACTGTTCGCAAGGCTTCTTTATACACGATCTGGTAGATGATAAAATACATGAATAAAAAGATAAGTTTAAATTATAAAATAGTCTTCTTTTTCCTCCGCTTTTCACCTTGCTTGGACTTGATCCACGAACACAAGCACGGTCAATTCATCATTAACGAAGTCGCTTATGCATTTCAGTGGGCTTCGACAAAGCCAAATCTGTATGTGTGGATGTATGTGTACATAGCCTGCAACACCAGTATCCCTATCCTGAGTGGAACATGCTGGTCTTTGTTTCATTCTCAGCCACCATCAAACATGGGTGGGGGACACGGATGGCCCAGTCGTCTTAGGCGCCGCGATTCGCTGTGCAGAGTTTGATCCTCTGGCCACGCCAGAAACCTATGATTGTGGGTTCGAATCCGGTTCGCCCCGATTATATTTCTAGGTTTGTCAGCACCATACCTGTGCTCGTGGGTTTCACCGAAGTGACTTGCGTCACTTCGGGCTTTCCCCTCACATTAAGCTGACACGCTGTGATATAACTTGAATAATGTTCAAAGCGGCGTTAAACCCAACTCACTCAAACATGGGTGTATTTTTATCTTTTGCCAGGCAGTTTATATTGAATTCCCAAACAATAATATAAATATCCAATTAGAATGTTTACATATCATTAAATAATCCACGTATTATCTTGAGCACTGAGAGTTTGAAAGTTTGAAAGTTTTATTTACTTGTTTTTGTTTCGTCATTTGCTTTATACCATGTTTTGACGACCCGCCTTCACAACTATAACGACAATCGGGCCATTAACCTTCCACTTCAGCTGATTGTGAGTTCCTTCACAGCTCTTTCACCAGCGTGAGTGATTATGACCATTCGGACAACAGCATCCAACAGCTTAGCTAATGCTTCTGAGTGCCGTTCGACAACGCCAGTGTTATTATGGCTATTTAATGTACGGCAAGTACATGCTATGGCGAATGAGCACGTTGCCGAGTGTCACAGTCGTCCCCTGGCCATGATTAAGCATCGGACGTGCATGTTAGATCCATTGAAACGCTGAACAATGTGTATTCTGGGCGTAATTAACGGTAGAACAAAATACAGCGTGTCATATATTATTCATCGCATTATTTTGTAATCACCATAAACAACTGTATCAAAACGTGTGATACATAGAGGTTATGAAGCTAGTGCGTTTGGGGAAGGTAAATGCTCTGATTTAAATTAGGAATAAACATTGTATTTGGCCAGTCGTGACGTGTTGGGGTGGTACATATCCAAGGCTTTCTATTTTCAACGTTTATTCCGAATGCAGAATTTACCATTCTTACATTCTTACATTCTATCGAGGAAACACCTATTTCAGTTCTTGCAAACAGCAACTAAACAGCAACTAAACATATTTCCTGGAATGCGCATTTACATATTAAACCCCAAGGACAGTGATTGATCAGTTGGACAGTGACCACATTCAATATAGTTCCAACTGAAACTTGTTTTTTTGGACAGGGTCGTAACTACCATATAGGCAAGAAGACAGTTGCCTACACCTAATTGGTCTACTTGCCTTTCTCGGCAATTCTTTGAACTGCCTGCTAGAGTAATTGTCCTTTATCAAAGGGACCTACTCTTGTCTCTCAATGAGACGTAGCTTTATTTTAGCGCCTTCCTGGCCTGTCTTTCTGAAAAGGCCTTGGGACTCATGGATAACTGAATGGAAAGTGCACGCATTTCTATTTTTAAACATCTGTTTACGCCATGTCATATTTAATCCATTTGTTCTTATGATTCATGAAATGTCAGTTGTTCAGTTTTAGTTATATTTAAACCCCGATATCCATGACATTTGTTACAAAGTTTACCGCAATAACGGAAAAGAGACAGTGCCTATATGCCGGTTCATCACAGGTGGAATGGGGACTGAACTCATGCGCTCATTTACAGTGGAAAGACAGTTTTCTTGTTTATCAAATTGAGTGTGCAAGGGAGGTCAAAACATGATGTAAAATATACAACAGGGAATGAATTGAAACATTGTTCATATTTTATGAAACATGCCCTTATTATCCCCCGCCGCGCGAAAGCGCGAGGCGGGGGATATAGTATTCACGACCGTCCGTACGTCCGTCCGTACGTCCGTCCGTCCGTACGTCCGTCCGTACGTCCCACCTGTTTGTTGCCGCGATATCTCAAGAACTAAACACTGGATTGTCTTCATATTTGGAACTATGGTGTATATACAGACTCCGCAGACACCAGTCAGTTTTGGTGACCTTGACCCCATTTTAAAGGTCACAGCAGGCATATCTGCTTTTGGAGTTGGAAAACAGTGTTGCCGCGATATCTCAAGAACTAAACACTGGATTGTCTTCATATTTGGAACTATGGTGTATATACAGACTCCGCAGACACCAGTCGGTTTTGGTGACCTTGATCCCATTTTCAAGGTCACAGCAGACAAATCTGCTTTTAGAGTTGGAAAACGGTGTTGCCGCGATATCTCAAGAACTAAACACTGGATTGTCTTCATATTTGGAACTATGGTGTATATACAGACTCCGCAGACACCAGTCAGTTTTGGTGACCTTGACCCCATTTTCAAGGTCACAGCAGGCATATCTGCTTTTGGAGTTGGAAAACAGTGTTGCCGCGATATCTCAAGAACTAAACACTGGATTGTCTTCATATTTGGAACTATGGTGTATATACAGACTCCGCAGACACCAGTCGGTTTTGGTGACCTTGATCCCATTTTCAAGGTCACAGCAGACAAATCTGCTTTTAGAGTTGGAAAACGGTGTTGCCGCGATATCTCAAGAACTAAACACTGGATTATCTTCATATTTGGAACTATGGTGTATATACAGACTCCGCAGACACCAGTCGGTTTTGGTGACCTTGATCCCATTTTCAAGGTCACAGCAGACAAATCTGCTTTTAGAGTTGGAAAACGGTGTTGCCGCGATATCTCAAGAACTAAACACTGGATTGTCTTCATATTTGGAACTATAGTGTATATACAGACTCCGCAGACACCAGTTGGTTTTGGTGACCTTGACCCCATTTTCAAGGTCACAGCAGGCAAATCTGCTTTTAGAGTTGGAAAACGGTGTTGCCGCGATATCTCAAGAACTAATCGCTGGATTGTCTTCATATTTGGAACTATGGTGTATATACAGACACCACAGACACCAGTCGGTTTTGGTGACCTTGACCCCATTTTCAAGGTCACAGCAGGCAAATCTGCTTTTGGAGTTAGAAAACGGTGTTGCCGCGATATCTCAAGAACTAATCGCTGGATTGTCTTCATATTTGGAACTATAGTGTATATACAGACACCGCATACACCTGTCAGATTTGGTGACCTTGACCCCATTTTCAAGGTCACAGCAGGCAAATCGGTTTTTGGAGTTGGAAAACGGTGTTGCCACAATATCTCAAGAACTAATCGCTGGATTGTCTTCATATTTGGTACTATGGTGTATATGGCGGGGGATATTTCGTCACTCTGTGACAAATACTTGTATTGATGTTACATTGTGGGAAACTTATCTGATTGTAAATTTACTTTGACTTGCTTTGTCGCCGAGTTGATGCCCCGCATCAAGGTTTTCTTGTAACTGATGAAATGGCTCATGAAATGCAGCCAGATCTCCATGGTTACATTTCGGACATTTAACGGTCAAATCCAGTTGATTTAAATTCGGGAAACTTATCCCGCTAGTGTCCTCGCTAAATAAATCATTCTTCGCAGTTTCTCCAAATTTACCCTCACTGGTAAAAGGCCTCAGCTACACCCTTGATAGCAAATATCCCCGTTCTTTTTTCAAGATTCCCGATAGTCAATTCTGACCAAGACACAAGGGCGGACCCATGTTTGGGTTAAACACTGAAATTAGTACCTACCTAACCTTTTATATTTGCATGTTTATCCTTAAATGACCCCATTTCTGGTGTCCCCCGCTGTGATATTGCTGGAATATTGCTAAAAGCGGCGTAAAACCTCACTCACTCACTCACTCACTTAAATGACCCCAAAAGGGACCCGTTTTCATCGTTTGCGTTATCCTGCCCTGAAGCCTACCCATTATATGATAGTGAGTGAGTATGGTTTTACGCCGCTTTTAGAAATATTCCATCAATACCAGGGCGGGCATTATGTTATAAAAAAAATAGTACATGTATATAGTTTTCTTTTCAGTGTAGATATAATATGACACTCACTCACTCACTCACTCACTCACTCACTCACTCGGACAGGCCTACCTACCTTCCTCTTGGATCTCTCTTGGGCTGATGCAGTGGAGCCAATAAGTGTCCCCGGAGCTTTACGGAGGCAGAGCTTAATGGCGATGACGGAGTAGGCCCCGATCATGACGGCGATAGGCACGAAGTACATAACGACGCCCTCTACACTGTAGTATATCAGCTTACCAGGTTGGTACGTCTCACATTCCTCGTTCTTGTAGATTTTGGGCCAAACCTCCTCACACCAAATTTCGAGCCTGTCCTTCCACTGCCACTTGAACTGCTGCCTGATCCAGAGGTGGGGCGAGGCTATCATGGTCGATACACACCACGTCAGGACGATGACCAGCCCGGTGACCAGCGATGACCATTTGGCCCGGAAGGGGAACACGATGGCCATGAAGCGTTCCACCGAGATGACCGTTAGAGTGAGGACGCTTGACGTCACTGACAACACTGGAAGAGGGGCACGAAAGTGTGGAATGGACATCGGGATATGAACACAATACAGTAATATCAGACGCGGAGATCGGTGCATGGATACCTGACTGAAGCATCAGTACATGGACATCAGAGAGAAACATGGACATCTGAGTGAAACATGGACATCTGAGTGAAACATGGACATCTGAGTGAAACATGGACATCAGAGAGAAACATGGGCATCAGAGTGAAACATGGACATCAGAGAGAAACATGGACATCAGAGAGAAACATGGACATCAGAGAGAAACTTGGACATCAGAGTGAAACATGGACATCAGAGAGAAACATGGACACAGAGAGAAACATGGACATCAGAGAGAAACATGGACATCAGAGAGAAACTTGGACATCAGACAGAAACATGGACACAGAGAGAAACATGGACATCAGAGAGAAACTTGGACATCAGACAGAAACATGGACATCAGAGAGAAACATGGTCATCAGAGAGAAACTTGGACATCCGAGTGAAACATGGACATCAGACAGAAACATGGACATCAGAGAGAAACATGGACATCAGAGAGAAACATGGACATCAGAGAGAAACATCTTGAGATAACTATTTCCTTGGTTTCATTGCAACAGCTATGGTGACATGAGCAGATTGGGACATGCCATGTGGTCACTTTAACGTTACAATGAGGATTTGATAGTCTGGGTGGGGCCTGGGACTTTGTTTCTAGATTAAATATATTTTCAGCTACAAAACCAGATACATTTTGTTATATTTAAAACTAAAACATAATCCTTTTTTTCAGGAATTTTCGGGGATACTTTTTGGGACGATAAAATCCTACGCACCATCCCCCACCACCTACCCCACCCCAACCCCACCCCAACCCCCAGAATATCAAATGGTCGGCCTCTGAAGCCTTTTGAAATTAGTGTTGCTTTCTTTTTATTTGGAATCTTGTGACAGAGAAAGAAACATAGATTATCCAAAGACACGAATTTTTTTCAGCACAATTGCTTTCTTTTTATTTGGAATCTTGTGACAGAGAAAGAAAGATTTTTTTCAGCACAATAGGAATCACAAATTGTGATTCGTTGGCTAACACTAACACGCTTAGCTAACCCATCTTCCATAATGTATGACCTACCTTGAAAGAAGGTGTTCCCTTTACATACAAAGTCCCCAAAGGGCCACTCAGGGGCGATCTGATACCCCACGTGGACCCACATGCAGAACGCGGCCACCATCAGGTCCGACACCGCGAGGTTCAGGATCAACACGTTGGTCGTCGTCCGCATCTTCCTGTTCAGGACGATGATGAGAATGACGATGCTGTTACCGACGACGTCCAGCAGCATCGCAAACACATAGAACAGTATCTTGACCGCAATCTCCCAGGTGGAGAAGGTGGGAGGGGGACTAGGGGCGTTGATGTAGATGAGGATGCTTGGGTCAAATTCGTCCTCGATCTCACGACCTGGAACGCAGTCTCGAGACGCAGGAAATGAATAGTTGTCCATTGTTCAATGTGGCTGTATTACACCGGGAACTGGTGTTTGAAACGTTGAGGTTAGATTCTGAGGTTCTTGTTTTAACTCCTGTACTGTAGGATCACATGCACTATCACGAGATTAGGTCAACCCTGAGTGTAAGGCACTGGCACGATAACACAAGCCTCGAGATATCCCTGTCAGGAAAGTGACGCTCTTGGTAGTCAATGTGCTAATGCATGACACACATTCTCCACTGGAATTATATATCTATCTGTGCACAGGGGAGAACGTCTTTGGGGACAACTCTGGATTACGTTGGAATAGAATTCCAAATTAATAAAATCGACACAGATGAAAATATTGCATTACGACTCTTAAATGGATTTACGAAAAGAATATTATTTATAACATTTTAATGCTGATATTTTTACTCTTTGGTAAAAGATTGACCTGGGAAAATGCGTTTGAATTTATATGTCCTATATATGGTATGTAAGCATTAGAATTACCACGAGACCAAGAATCATGTCAAGCCACGGAAGCAGCGAGCGTTCTGGTGTGTTTGTGACGTCATTACAAATGATAACAGAGACCTACATATACATACTGCGTCTCCTACAGGAATTACCAGAGTCGCAGAGCCACCACCAGCAAGGTCAAACCTTGATCAGACATGGGTATTCCGTGTTTCTGGCCTCGCTATCTACACGAGCGTCTTATCAGTTGTTTACGGTGTCTTCAAGGCGTAAACATTCACTGTCGTAAGGTTGATTACCACAAGTCCATCTTCGGTGAAACACACCTAGCACGCATATACCGTTATTGTCTCTTCAGTACGCCTCCTTTCCCTGCCTTAAAATACCTCATGCAATCCCGTCATCAGTAAACCACACACCTAGCACGCTTATACCGTTAATCTCTCTTCAGTACGTCTCCTTTCCCTGCCCAAAATACCCCATACAAGCCCGTCATCAGTGAACCATACACCTAGCACGCATATACCGCATATCTTTCATCAGGGCGCCCACCTTCACTGACTTAAAATACCTCATACAAGTTCATCTTCAGTGAAACACATCTAGCAGTCATACACCGCATATCTCTCATCAGTGCGTCTACCTTCACTGCCCTAAAATGACACGTACAATTTCATCTTCAGTGAAACACGCCTCGCATTCATATAACTTCTGTCCTCCTCACCTGGTCAAGCGATCCAACATTAACCATGGTTAATCAGCACAGTATATCTGTCCCCAAGGATGTCCCCTCACCATAAACGGTCCAAAATCAGAATTTGTCGTTATCAATGCAACTCTTGCATTTACCAGACACTATTGGATTATACAAAATAGCACAATAATCTGCAAGTAGGATTTCATGTACGACATCTCCCAAGACAGCTTCAACATCGACAACCAGCTCTCCGTCGACTGCAACCCCTCTCATGTAGCTATGCACTATATGACAGCATTGTCAGGACGGTTCTGCCTTGGATCATCAATCGCTGGCCGTCGCGATGTCGCCTGCGGGTGTTGAGGACGTCTCTCGTGTTTACCGCAACACTCATATCTCATTCATCCGGGTGACTACCTGGAACAATTAAGGTAGGACATCATTGATGACCTCTGTCAGCGTCCGAGAGGTCCCTGGAGGGCATTGTATTCTACACATGACAGATTTACAGAAGGGAAATGCGTAATGCATACGAAACATGTGTTTGCTTTGTTGGGTTTGATTAATTTGGATTGCAGTATTTCCCCTTTTCTGAGTTGTAAATCACGCAAATTAACATGGATTTTCGATTGCATTGCGTTCAGATTATGACGGGGAATACCAGTGTAATGGTTCTGTTTTATTATATTACTCATAACTTGTAGACTGTACTAGATTTATTAGGTCATAGGGTAATAAGTTGTGCTCTGTTTGGTTGGTTGGTTGGTTTATTGTTTTACGCCGCAATCAGTAATATTCCAGCTATGTGACGGCGGTCTGTAAATAATCGAGTCTGAACCAGATAATCCGGTGATTGATATCATGAGCATCGATCATTGGGATACGATACGATGACATTCAACAACCAAGTCAGCGAGCCTGACCACCGGATCCAGTTAGTCGCCCCTTAGGGCAAGCATGGGCTGCTGAAGACCTATTCTACCCCGAATCTTCACGGGCCGCGCTGTTTGGACAATGGCTGGTGCGATACGTGGTGGTTCCGGGTAAGTATATAAGTCTCCAGCAACCTATGCTGGTCGTAAGCTGGATCGGGTGGTCAGACTTGGTGATTTTTGGGGATGAATACTTGTATTTGTTTTGTTCAGTTTTGATACACGAACCAATAACAAGGTTTGTATCATTTCAATAGCAATAGTTAGTTGACGTTTCAAATCACTCACTTGCTTCTTTGCATCCTATGATATGACGTTTACCACTTCGGTGAAACCCACCAGCACGGGTATGGTGCTGACAAACCTAGAAACATAATCGTGGCGAATCGGGATTCGAACCTACAATCATAGGTTTCTGGCGTGCCCAAGGGACACAACTCTGCACAGCGAATCGCGGCGCCTTAGACGACTGGGCCACAACAGAGAATATAATCTATTATATGGTCTCTGGCCACAATCAATAGAGATGGGGACCTCTTCGGATCAAGGTTTGAACGGTTGTTGTTTCGCTCACTCACGACCTTAACGACCCTTCTGTCTCAATTGCAAGTTGACGAATGGCGGATTCCACACGGTATAAGGCCAGGTTCACACAGTGCCGATTATGGCTCCCGTTTGAGATCAGACAGCGCTAAGACACGAAAAGTGAAAAAGTCGGATCACTTTCCTCAATGATCTGGAATGTCCTATCATTGTCTGAACGCAGTCGTATATGTTCGTAACTGAGTCCTACGGATCGGGAAAGGTTCAGAGAGGTCGGCCAAGCACTCCCGACAGTATGGTGCGTCCCGTAACATTCGGGAAACTCAGCCGATTTTGTCTAGTCGGATTATAATCGTGACCATGTCGTGACAGATTCTGCTGTATCGGAGCAAAATCGTAACAATGTCCTGTGTTGCCTGGACGTACGGTGTCCTGTGGATCGGGACGCTGTGGTGATGAACGGACATGAATTGTTCATTGTCGTTTCTTGTCGATTGAGTCGAGATTGCGTCAAGATCTTGCCGAATGCGAACCGACTTTGTCGGTTCACTGTCCGGTCACTGTCGGATCTCTGTCGGATCGCATTCGGAAGAATCGGGACGCTGTCGGGACAGATTCGGTCGTTTTTAGCCGTGCGGAAGATACAAATCGGATCAGATTCGGATAGGGAACGGGAGAATCGGTACGAATTCGGCTGGAAACGGCAGAATCTGGACGCTTCCTGAACAATATCTGATGTTTGTGAATTCCCCACCACGAATCACAGGATCTTGATCAGACTTTTGACAAATTTTAATTGGGATTTGTCCTATCAAGGACGGCAGTAAAAATCCTGAATGTGTGAGTGACCTATTATATAACAGCCCGTCTTCACCGTATCAAAGGGTGGTACAAGGAGCCAAAATGGTTTTGTCGAAAATTGAATTTAAAAAAAAGTCAAGACTTAACACTAATTTTTAACAGAAAAGGGATTTAAAGTTCACATTTACGGTATCTTGCTACGGATTTTACGGTAATCTTATCAGTGTAAGTTACGAACCAACAACGATAAGCTTCCTTCTCGAACACACATTATGGCAGCGGACTGTAATCGTGTGTTCTAATAATACCTGGCCTGGCTGATTTGCGATGAATATTTCACATATATCCTGGCTAGCAGAACAAGAAACATCACAATATTCAACAATCAACAGCTTTGAATGGTGGTGGGGAGAGGTGAAATGGGGTTTAACGTCGCGTCCAAGATTATTGCACTTATATAGCGACGTGCATGTACGTTTGTGTGGCTGCTTGTACTTGTCCGGAGTGATGCCGATTTATAGTGCTAGCTCACTGAGGTACCATGCCGTAGTTTAACATGAATACCCCACTCACACAAAGTGTACTGACTCCGAGCCGAACAGTATTGTTTTAGCCCCTTAATGCCGAGCGCCAGACAGGGTAACAACCAATACCATCTTTTAACGTCTTTTGGTATGACACGGCCGGAGATCGAACCCCAAACCTTCCGCTCTACGGGCGGACGCTCTATCGCTTGACCACGGAGGCGGCCTCCCCTTGAATGAAATCATGTACGTCAGTATCTACACACGATGACATTCAGTTCAGGTCACATGCAGCCTCGGTAAACTGCCGAAGCCTGGGAAGCAGCAGTGTGTGGACGTTACCAAGATAGGAGGCTACTATATAGACCAATGATCACGGGTTGTCATTGGGGGCTCCGACAGTGTGCTCTTCTGCACGGCGTCAGCCTTGACCTACGTTTCACGTCCCCTAGTCGTGCAAGGATCCTCCGTTACCGCGAGCCCCAAATCGGTATGGTTATGATCCTGGATCTGCCGACACCATACTCAGGGTCTGGTGGTTTACCAAATTGGCCAATGTCCCAGAACTGGGTCATTTGTTTCAGGACACCCAGTGATAAAACCGAAATAAGGTTCAAGCGGTACTAATTTTGAGGAACTATTTTATTCCGCGATACAGCTGGTTGTTGTATGGCTGTCTGTGTCAACATAATGTCACACGTACTGAAAAAAATGTGTATAGATCTAGGCCTACATCCTTTGTGGGAATAAATTGGAATAAAACATTATAACAACTTTATGAAGGTTCATACTCCAATGAACTCACACAACGTGAAAGTCAATTCTTAAATAAACCCAACTCACTCACTAAGTTTGTTATCCTGAAATACACATAAATCTATACATACGCGTTTTGAATATTAAAACTGAAAATAGGCATCATAGGATATTTTTGCATTAGATTTTCAACTGTAGATTTTTCAACCACATTGAACGGAATGGCTCTACCATCAAATTTATTACTCTAGGTAGCTATCATTGTTGGGGGCTGGCTAACATTTATCAAAAGATATAAATGATTTCCGTTGGAACTCCTTAAACCGAACAATGAATCACGGATCCGCAAATAAAACAAGAACTACTCACATGAAAATAGAAATCAATTTCCCTGATTTATTGCAATGGTTGTGTAGGGCGCCTCGTCGACATAAACAGGTTCAGCTGGAATATGGACATTCCTTATTAAAAACATCATAAAAAACAAACTACTTTAACAGTATGAAATAGATACTAACTGAAAAAGGAGTCCCGCTTTATGTTAACATATTTGAGCGAGTGAGTGAGTGAGTGAGTGAGTGAGTGAGTGTGTGAGTGAGTGTGTGAGTGGGGTGCGGCGGGCCGGCAGGGCGGGCGATAGAGTGTGTGAGTGAGTGAGTTGGGGGCGGCGGGCCGGCAGGGCGGGCGAGTGAGTGAGTGAGTGAGTGAGTGAGCAAGTGGGTGGGGGGCGGCGGGCCGGCAGGGCGGGCGAGTGAGTGATCGAGTTAGTGAGTGAGCAAGTGGCTGGGGGGCGGACGGGCGAGTGAGTGAGTGAGTGAGTGAGTGGGGGGCGGCGGGCCAGCAGGGCGGGCGAGTGAGTGAGTTAAAATTTAAGTCACGTCGGAAATATTTAGGCCATATTGTGACTAAACAAGGAATGTATTTATATTTTCTTAAAACCTGTCATCAAATGACAGTATAATAACTAGTAACATGACAGATTTGTATTTCAAACTAGAATATTTAACAATTTCACAATATAAAATGCAGGGTACAGGTCACTAGCAACCAAAGGGAGGCCTTACTTGGAACAACGAGGACTTCTGTACCTCTGCTATCTGCATGGTACCCCGGCAGGATTTACACCATCCCCCTAAGTGCTGGCGATTGTTTGCAAGTTAAGCCGAAAATTAAAATAAGCACATATTCTACGATTAAAACAGTGTTAGATGTATATATTCTTTGAAAAACAAAGTCTTCCGATACCTTTGCGGCCAGTTCAGATCGCTTTCCCCGTCAGCCACAACTATACCTGCCGTCATATAATCACTGGAATGCACGTATGGGTGGTCCCACTATACTAAGGACTCACTTTTCAACTGATAATTCACTTGGCAACAACATACGATCCAGTGTCCTACTTCTGTTCCGCCTATTATATAAACATTATGCTGAAGTTACATATAGTACTCAAAAGAAATTAAAGAACATCCGTTTTTTTCATATGACTTAGGTTAATCGTTAGTCGCCATGACAGATTAAATGAGTATACTCATGTGAAAAGGATAGCGGTTGGTCAGGTACTAAATGTCATCGTATCCTAACTTTTAGGACTCGATTTTTAACAGATCGGCGTTAAACAACAAATAAAACAAAAGCATAAATTTGTATACAATGGTAATGTCTAGAATTAAACGAAAAGCCTACGAATAAAGCAATGCCAATTCAAAACAAGTATTACATTCACAATAAACCAACAAAAACGTATCGGGTTTTTTTCCTAAAAAAGACATATATAGTATTTATGAAATAAACGACTTGTCGTTGTGTATCGTACAATAAAACACTGCAGGGAGAAAAAAACATGAGGGGCCAAGAGATCTGTGTATAACATCACCAACACTACCTTAGAAGATCCGGGGTAGAATAGGTCTTCAGCAGCACCTGTTTGCCCTAAAAGGCGACTATGCTCACTGAGGCTCACTGACTTGGTTGATGCATGTCATCGTATCCCAATTGCGTGGATCGATGCACATGGTGCATATCACTGGATTGTCCGGTCCAGACTCGATTATTTACAGACCGCCGTCATATAGCTGGAATTTTACTGAGTGCGGCGTTAAACACCAAACGACCAAACAAACCTCCAACACATCTGCAAACAAGGCGCTCCAGGATGTCAGAGTCTGCATAACACGCCCTTCCCCGCACATCAGGTTCCGTCTCGGTGCCCGGTGGCCTCAAGTCATCCAGCAGCTAGTAGCATCCCCGGGAACACCCAACACATCCAAACTGCACACTTTACATCATAGAAATCCAAGTACTTACAACTTTATACCTTGGTGCAATGTTGCTGTGTCCATCACACCAAACCAGCTGTCTAGCTACTATCAATATGACACTTAATGTTACATTGTTAGATATGACTGAGACATGGTGAAAACACCTGTTGACAGCGAAGCAGCCTGAGAGAGCAGTTATCTGAGGCATTCTACTGCAATATCAAGAGGCCATATGTCGGGTAGTTAAACAAAGTCTCTAAACCTAAGAGACCGAACGTTTAACATTTAAAGTTTTTTGTGTGTGTTTGGAGTGGAGAGGGGTGGGGTGTGTGTGTGTGTGTGTGTGTGGGGGGGGGGGGGGGGGGGGGGGGGGTATTTGAGGTTACAGAGTTATGTAACTCCTTAGTTTTGGCAGGACCAATGATCGTGGGTTCGAATCCCGGTTCGCCTTGATTATGTTTCTAGGTTTGTCAGCACCATACCCGTGCTCATGGGTCTCAACCAATCGTTGCATTACTTCAGGCTTTCCTCCCACATCAAACCAACACAGTGTAACATTACTGAAATATTGTTATGGCGGCTTTACGTTCACTCACACACTTAAGAAACGTACATATTTTATAGCTTTCTTTTGATTGGTCCTGGCTAGTTTCCCTTCATACAAACTATAACTCATTAACTCCATATAACGTTGAAGTGAGTGAGTATGGTTTTACGCCGCTTTTAGCAATATTCCAGTAATGTCACGGCGGGGGACACCAGAAACCGGCTTAACTCATTATACCGTTGTGGAGAATCGAGCCCTGGTTTTTGGCGTGACAACCATATAACCTTGCAGACGATGTACCGGTATGGCTCACACGATCTGTATCGTCATTGTAGTCTTATATCGACACCCCGCTTGTTACGAACTTCGGGTCGATGGGTGGGTGTGGTTAAAGCGTTTGATTCCTTACAAAGATACCTTGTGTGAAGCCCATTTCTTGTGTCCCCCGCCATGATTTTGCTGGAATATCGCTAAACGCGGCGTAAAAATATACTCACTCACTCACTCGAACTTCGGATAACTCGATATCTTTTCAATGATCAGTACGTCGAGTTGAGGTGGTTTCATTGTGTCTAATCCCGTATGGTATGCCCAGCATGACGCAGAGCTGGCGGTGACGACCCTGCCTCTCTAGCATCTGAATGTTGAGATTAATGACCTGTCGATACTCGAGTACCTGCAAACTGATAAAGTAAACAGTCGGATGGAGAATAAATGTAATCCTTGAAGAGACAGGGTATCCTAGCAACATGTGACGGGGCTGAATGCTTCATTATGATGTATCTTCAGTGCAAGTGGCATTTTTCCTATTTCTGTTTCACGATACACTTTGACATTTAAACCACAATATCGTTGTTTGGGCTTTGAGCGTTAACTTTAAACACGGTGATGTCATTTTGATTTAAACATAATTGTTTCCGCTAATTCAATTTATCATGACTCGGGTTGTAGTTACTTTTAAAAAGCTGATTTCGTCGCCGTAAAAAAAACCTTGGGGTCATTTATTGACTTGGATAATATATACTGTAATCATACACGCCTAAACACGTAGGTGATCTATACAATGGAGTGCACGTGGCCCTAATGGCAAATTTCCCGGGTTCGATTCCCTACATGGACACAACGTGTGAGTCCAACTTTCGGTGTCCCTCGTCGTCATATGTGTGGAATATTTTACATAAAGTACTTCATGGTTAGTATTGTATCATGTGTTTCAACTGCAAGATTAATGATAAATCATTCTATGAAATGACATTGTTTAACGCCGCACTCAGCCATAATCAAGCTATATGACGTCGGTCTATAAATAATCGAGTCTGGAAGAACGGTTCACGCCGTCGCCATCAACCGAGTCACAGATCCTGACCACCCGATCCACTTGTTTGTTTGTTTGTTTGTTTGTTTGTTTGACGCCGCACTCAGTAATATTTCAGCTATATGACGAGTATTGACGACGGTCTGTAAAAATCGGGTCTGGAGGAGACAATCCAGTGATTGCAATCATGAGCATCAATCTACTCAATTAGGATACAATGACATGCACCAACCAAGTCACCGATCCTGACCAACCGATCCGGCGATCCACTTATCGCCTTTTAGGAACAGCAGAGGTTGGAGGGGATCTATTCTAGCCCGGCATCCCCATTCGCCGCGAATAGCTGCAAGGTTGCTGATGCGGCGTTCGGTAATAACTACTCACTCACACACTCCGGCATCCCCACTGGGACTGTTTGGTGTGATGTCAGCACTTCTAAACTGACATCATGCGTATCGATCCACACAATTGGGATTCGTTGACATGCATCAACCAAGTCAGCGAGTCCCATCCCGTTAGTCGCCTCTTACGACAAGCTTTAGTACACCCATTCTAACACGGATCTTCGTGGTAGTAGTAGTAGTAGTAGTAGTACAAAGAGACGTAGTAGTTACAGCAGTAGTAGTCGCAGTTGTCGCGTCCAACACAAAGCTCTCATTTGTCACCGAGGTTGATATATTTTATTGCCGCTTCCATCGCCTACAAACTCCCCATGTGCAAGTCCATCACAGTTCGGACAGATGCTGACATACCCTCACCACAGTAGAAGCATCTCCGGTAAAACTCAAGCTGCGATAACCGTATCACTCTGCCGCCCCCTATACACGATTTACATGTTGACTTATCGCTACGTCTACGTATGTGTAGCGCCAAGTCAATATCACAGTAGTTTCTGGGAGTAGCACAGAGCTACCCTTGCCCCGACAGCCGTCTTCTGTTGACCAGTCCGTGTGCTTAATGCTGAATGATAGCTCAGTTAAAGCCCCGGCAGCATTACCATACAACATGTTCAGGTGTTGTTCACGATGTATTCCAGTGATTGATTTTATGAACAACGATTCACGCAGTTTTTGTTTGTTTGTTGTTTAACGCCGCACTCAGTAATATTCAAGCTGTATGACGGCAGTCTGTAAATAATCTTGTCTGGACCAGACAACCTAGTGATTGACATCATAAGCATCGATCTACGCAATTGGGATACGATGACTCGCATCAGCCAAGTCAGCGAGCCTGACCACCCGATCCCGTTAGTCCCCGCTTACGGCAGGCATGGGTTGCCGAAGACTTCACGGGTCGCTTAATGCAGTCGGGGCAAAAATGACAGCTATCAACCAATTCACCGAGTCTGACCACCCGCTGAGGACTGAACTACAATAAACTTCTTCCCATACGAAAGCAATACCCCGCTCTGTTTCAATTTGAAAATAGTTAAGTTACACGTTGGTCATAGATGGGTAGAAAGGACCTCCTCAATGTGAGACCTGAAACGCTACGCCTGTAAGTAAGGATATGTGGCGCATCGCTAACTGGTCTAGATTGTGGTTGCGTTGTGTAGGTCGTTTGATGATTGTCTGTAATACATTTACCGACACAGAACGAGTGGAATCGTCTACATGTATTACATTGTCGAGTTTTATATCGCGATACAGATGGGAATCATTTTGGGCTAAAACTAAAGAATTCCAGTAGAGTTGACTGTGAAGCAGGCTTTTGAGAGCAGTTATTGTTTCCTGTGATCGCTTGTTCTATAGTAAGGGTTTATGAAGGAAACACTTATAACAAAAATAACCAGGGGTAACCGAATGGTTGGTTGGTTTGTTGTTTAACGCCGCACTCACCAATATTCCAGCTATATGGCGGCGGTCTGTAAATAATCGAGTCTAGTCCAGACAATCCAGTCATTAATATCATGATCATCGATCCACGCAATTGGGATCGATGACATGCATCAACCAAGTCAGCGAGCCTGACCACCCGATCCCGTTAGTCTCCTCTTACGACAAGCATAGTCGCCTTTCATGGCAAGCATGCGTTGCTGAAGACCTATTCTACCCCGTATCGTTACGGGTCTGTTCATTAGGGAAAGACGTTGCTGTAGTAATGGCAGGGTTAGACACGGACCAAACCTTGAAGGACAACTTGTTTTCTACTAACTTGCATCAAACGTCAAGTTAACTAGTCAATCTAGTTCTGGTTTTGTGTGTTTGGTCGTATTT